AATAATAAAGGCAAGACAAAAAAATCTAAGAAATAAATAATTTTTTTTGATGTAACAACAATGGTCTGAATTAATGTTTGCTTGTAATATTTTGAAACAAAGCCTAAACATAAATTTAAGCCCATTGCTTTGTTGGTGCCTAAGTTATATCACTGAAGTAACTATATGGCTGATAATCCACTAGAGCAGGGGTGTCAAACTTGCATCATCACATGACGTATCGGGACTTTTTCCCTTCACTAAATTGGGCATTGGCGTGGCCTGCGCATGATACATCCAGCCAGCAGGCTGCAAGTTTGAGAGCCCTGCACTAGAGCTTACATCACAATTTTCTGGAAAGTATCTCTGAAATAAGCAAAGATTTTAGTTAAGATTTTAGTCAATTTCAATTAAGGTGTTTGATTCCTTCATAGACATATCTGTGCACTTCTCCACCTGTTGAAGTCGTTACTGAATTCAAATATACTTAACTTTTTACCTAGCTGAGCATACCAAAAGAAGAGAAACAAAAATAATCAAATTTGAGCTATAGTATATTAAAAGTCTTGTTTCATTAAAACATTTAAGAAATCACAATTGACTGATACCAGAATTTTTCAGATTTTGCAGTGCTTGGACTCCATAAAATGATAAACGAATGTGTATGTTTTCCATTAGTATTGAGATTAAAATGGAGCAGGAAAATAAAAATGCTACTTTTAATAATTTAATGTTAATCTATATCTTACAGGTTCCACAATTGCCTACTAGGATAATGCAGGCAAAGGAAGAAGCAAAGCCCAAGTCATATTTTCAGTCTTCCATTTTGTCTGCATTAGGCAAGGTTTTCAAAAAATGAAAATCAAATCCATTTTAAGTGGCTGTTACCCCATGATAGGGCATTCTGGCTCACAGTTTGAGAAACATACTTTGCAAGTTCTAGTTGTACGGAGTTGTGTTGGATATAATGTACTTGCACAATTTACAAATATTTATGCCTTAATTCCATTTCCCCACTCCTAGGAAAATTATTAGCTAGCTTGGCCCACACAAGGGCAGGCATTCCAGAAGCAATCACAAGCTTGGGAACGGTCCAATGTCTTTGTTATCATTTATATGCAAAGGAAGAGGAGGTAGGAATTTAAAATTCTGGTAAGTTTTCTTACTGTTCAGTAGAGACCAGAATCTCTCCCTCCCCATTTGATGTCAACGGAGCACCATATCATGTAGTCTTGTACTATTATATGTTCATTTTATTCTGAGCTCTTAGATCATCTTTGCTTTCTTGGTCCTGTTAGTGGCTGTAGTATCTTTAGACTGTGATTTTCAGATATCAAACTCATCCCAGTCCATCAAAAATGTAATACAGTGCTCACAAACTCACAAAAATACAAAACTGGGCAACAGGGAAAGATATCTCCAAATAATGGATGGAAGCGACATATATAGAAGTCCTGTTTTCTGCAAGGGATTTTTTTCAGGACAATCCAGAACTTTTATTTTAATTTTCATAGTTCTCTTGCTTTGTTGGATAATCTGATTCACTGATCCTAAACAAAATTAATAAACTGCATTCCTACAATATGGATGTCTTCTAGGTTCGTTCAGCTGTGGCATGTGCTCTTGGCTATCTAACATTTAACCGAACTGCGTATCGCCATCTATTGGTGCAATGTAGGAATAAGCCCAAGTTGTTCAAGAGACTAATAGTAAATCTCAGCAAAGATGCAAAAATAAATTCGGATTTTGTAAAGGAATTTATGAGGCAGAAAAAAGTTGGGCTCCCATCTCTCAGGTATGAACAGTATTTAAAATTTTAGTGAAGTTTCAGAACACTGCACATCAGTGTTAGAATAAAATTATTTCTATTTGAAAGGATGAATCACGTGAATGTTTGGGAAAAAAACCTTCAAAATATGGAGGCTTTTTACCCGAAAACTGAGAAAATGAAAGATTTTTATTTATATACAATGAATGCCCTGATATTAACTTGGTGAAAGTATTTCTGGCTGGAAGTAGGACTTTATTCCAGAACAAAGCCACTTGGATTGTTTGCAAAATTACCTTTAAATGTTTTAGAAAGCATGTTTGAAGTATAAAGCCTTTCATGTTTACAATTTACAAATACTTATGCTTTAATTCCATTTCCCTACCCCTAGGAAAATTATTAGCTAGCTTGAATTTATTGGATTCCACAATGTATTTTCTTTTTCTATTTGCTTCTGGGTTTTATAGCATTTATAGCAATAGGTTTCATATCATTTTACAGAATTTTTAAAATGTTATTTGTGTTTTTATAATTGTCTTGAACTTATTAGGAAATTACGGTATTTTTAATAAATTTTAATTAAATGTTATAGAACAGCAGTAGTTCAGTTTAATTCAGTTTAATATACATATCTTACTAAGCACAGAATACTAGAAAGCCTGAGATCTTCCATCAGGACTGATGTTAAATATTTCCATAAATACTGTGAATGTTTAACTTTCATCAACCATGGATTCATAAACTTGCTATCATGTAATCTTTATCAAATTTAAGGAGAAGGATAGCCAATTAATAAAGCAGACAAAACAACAGTCCTGAAGCATCACTGTCAGCTGAATCAAATTATAAATAATGGAGAAGCTCAATGAAAGTAAACAAACCAGTTTAGAAACATAGAATGGTTATATTAAGCTTAATTGTTAAACATGGGGGAAAAAGAATGATTAACAGAATTCTCAAACTACATTATTTAAGAATAGTTTCAGGACTTTAATGAAAGTACATTACAGAGAGGCTTAGCAGTTGTCTGCATCCAAACTTAAAAATTGGTTTTTATTTTCAGCCTGGAGATAAATGGAGGACCACCTGCTGTCCCTGTACATATACGAGGTAATTTATGCCTAGCTAATAGATAAAATGCACAAATCAAGAAAGCATTTGATAGCCACACAAAATATATAACAGGTTAAATATGCAGCCTAACCCAGATAGATTTGTGTGGAGTATATATATAAAATTGTGCTGGGCATATATATTAAAAAATTCATTATCTAATAAAACTTGTGATGTGGGTAGACCCTTCTAATGTTGCTTTCCACCAGAAATTTCTTATAATTCAAACTGTTGTTCTTGAAGACTCATGAGCTTAGTGAGATGGCTGATCTAAAGCAGCTTTAAAATGCGTACTTGGAAGCCAGTGGTATGCTGGCTGGTGAATTCTGGGTATTGCAGTCCACATGTCTTTTAAGTTGCCAGTTTGAAAAACACTGATTTTAAAAGATAAGGAGCTTTCCACTCCTATATCCAGGTTCCTTCCATTAAGAGTGACCAATGCTGTTTCTATTCCATGTCTGGATCTGACAATCTGCTTCCCCAAATACCTTCTCCAGACTTCCCCTCCCCAAAAAAGGAAGGTTGGATGACAGACAGTTGCAATAGCACGTAGACTTATTACCACTTCAAAGTGCTTTACAGCCCTCTCTAAGCTGTTTAGAGAGTCAGCATATTGCCCCCAACAATCTGGGTTCTCGTTTTACCGATCTTGGAAGGGTGGAGGACTGAGTCAACCTTGAGCCTTATCAGATTTGAACTGCCAAATTGCAGGCAGCCAGCAGTCAGCAGAAGTAGCCTGCAGTACTGCATTCTAACCACTGTGCCACCGTGGCTCATTAATTGTGTAGCATGGTTGGATAAAGAGGTGGCCTAACAAGGAGGGAACACACCACCATCATTTTCATTCTCCAATGCAGCTACTCACTCCACTTCTAGCTGTTCAAATGAACCAGGTAGAATAACTGGCCCACAAGTAGTCCTACTCATGTTGTAACATTATTTTGCTGAACAGTCTGAAATATTCTGCAGGTAACTGATAGCAGTAAAAGCAGTGTTTTGTTTTCTAGAAAAATTTCGAGGTACTGGTGTTAAAGTATACAAAGCAAAGTTTCGTCCGAAGGATTCTCTCTTTTTAATTCCTCCAACTTCACATATAATGGGAAGAGTAAAAACTCCGGAGAAACCTCACATTCCAGCATCTGGACACTATCAATTTCCACACACAACAATTTCTGACCTTATTCAGGTTTCAAGACCAAGAATTGTTCACGTCGACGCACTCAAATATACTTTGTCTGTAGAGAAAACTTAAATGTCTATACTGTGGTAGCGGAAAAGATGTTGTTGCCATGCAGTTACATGCAAATAAAAATATGGTTGCATTTGTAATGGTTTTAATGTATTTGTTCCAAATTGGGAAGAAAACAACTGCAAAAAATTGATACAGAAACAAGAAATAAAAACACTGGCAATCAGATATGACTTCATGTGTGAAAAGCAACTAACGTGAAGAATCAAGGTAAATTAAAATATATCTTTATTTCAAATAATATAGCACTGCAAAAAAAGGTGACATGAAATATTAACACTGTACATTCACTGATAAGCTCTTGAAAACAAGCATTCTGCACAAGACAAATGACTGTAAAGATATTGCTGCAAAACTTGGGTAAGATTAGCTGCTGTTTACCTATGAATTCCATGTTTTCTTTAAACTCACATAATTATTTGTTTCCTTCATTCTCCTGTTGTTTCTGCTACAGGTAGTCCTCAACTTACGATCACAGTTGAGCCCAAAATGTCTGTTGCTAAGCAAGACCATTATTGAGTTTTGTCCCATTTTACAACCCCATCTACTTGCCACAGTTATTAAGTGAGTCACTGCATTGTTAGGTTAGTAACAATTGTTATGTGAATCTGGCTTCCCCACTGACTTTGTTTGTCAAAAGGTCAGAAAAGGTAATTATCTGAGTCCAAGGCACTGCAACTGTCATAAATACATGCCAGTTGCCAAGCATCTGAATTTTGATCATGTGACCACAGGGCTGGTGCAACAGTCATAAATGTGAAAAATGGCAACAAGTCACTTTTTTCAGTGATATTACTGTAACTTGGTCACTAATCTGTACTCACATCTCCATCTACTTTCCCTCTTCTCACCATTGTAGCTATTCCTTTTTCCTTTCTTTTATTCCCCTTACTATTTCCTTCCTTTTATTCCCCTTTTTAGCATTTTTGCTGAAGAAGGGAAGGAAATATTTGCGTATACGTTTGTATATTTCTGTGTGCTGGAATGGTTTGCATCTAAGAGAAAGAATGGTTGGTATATATTGATGGGATTTGATACAGAGACGTTATTTTGTAAGCAACGGTAATTAGTAGTTATTAATTGAACCAAAGTGACCTTTTTTTTGGTCCTACCTCTACATTTTCTGGAAAGTAGCTTCTGGCAGTTATATCCACCGGCACAGATATATGAACAGATGTAAAGAACTGACATGTGTTCACTTATATTGAGTGAAAGAATATTGAAGATATTTCAGCTGAAATTTGCAAACCAAGATTATTTAAGTGGAGAAGCTGGATACTCACTTATTCCTCCACCCCCTTCTTTTCTGAGGGCATTATTTTCAATTCGGACCCAATGTGCATAACATCCATTCTTTTACTTCTGCAAATAGTTCATTAAACCACTGAAAAACGTCAGCCTTGAAATTTATTAGATAATGGAACATATATCCAAATTTACAAACAATAAAATGCTTGGAAACACCTTTCTCATTTATAGTGACTAAAAACATATGTCCTGTTTTTTCATTTTCATACCTAAATTTTTTGTCCGCTTATAATCCACCTGCATACTTGGCAATGTCACACAACTGGTCTAGGTGAGCAGGAAGCAACAAAATGGAGTCCCCATTAAAAAACCTTTTAAAAATGACACATTCACTTTGTTCCAAACAAGTGAAAAATACCAAGCATCATACTGCTAGATTTAGCGCTGGCACTTTGATGAAAGCTTCTTTTACTTGTTCTGAGATATTAGTTCCAAGTGGAGCTCTAAATGGTAACATAAAACACTATAATTAAACATATAATACAAATTCAAGAATGTAGAATTATATATTACAATATATGCATATGTGGCTTCTCTAAGACCCTTCTACATATAATGAAAATTACTATAAAATCAGTAATTTATATAATTGAATAAACCATATTCAAAACAATACGTACATCTATCTCTATTTTACAACAATTTATGCAAATACCTTTTTGTCACTCACCAATACTTCATTTTACCACTAAACACCATTACAACTTTTGATAAAGGAATTTCTGTCTCAAATAACAGTTCTATTATTTTTACCAGTTTCATAAAAGAAATAATAATTCTTTTATAATTTTGAACATTATGTAGGGAAAAGAATGTGATTTGTTTATTAATTTATTAAATCTATCAACCACCCATCTTATGACAGGGTACAACTTTAAAAAATCTATCTGATAAGGGAATAACATATTCTGTGCCAAAGAATTATTAGTCATATACAATAATTGTGCAAAAATAAACTTGGCATGTTTTCCTAATTTGTTACACTTTGCTAAGTTTTTCAGGTAGCATTCAAATGCTCCGGGTCAAATATGGAACATTCTATCTAAAGGAAAAACAAAACAAACTGTCAAACTGGAACCTAGACTAAGGAAAAGGGTAGCAATTTATGTGTAACCCTGAATAGGCCTTCTCTGGTAGGGGAAAAAAAATATCTTAGCCTTCTCCAGTCTCATGCTTTGTAGATGTGCAATGGCTAAAGAAATTCTGGAAGTTGAGTTCTGAAATAGCTTGGAGATTCCAAGTGGGAATGGGTTGAAGATACATATTTAAATAATTCAATATACAGTATATCACCTTTTTTTACCCCAATTTTTCCTCCTATAATTTTGAGCAACATATAGACAATAAAATACACCAAGAAAAGTTCAATAAACTAATTAACTACTTACTTTGGTTCATACCGGAAATGTTCTACATTATAAAAGATATCTAATCCTGCAGAAAGCTTTTCAATTCCATTCCTATAAAGGAAATATTTATGCAAGTAAGTAAAACAATTTCATTTCTCTGTTACTTTACAATGAATACAAAGCATTTATCACACTGACCACAAAAATTATTGGCAGAGTCTTCAAACCTACTGTCTTATTTTCCATTAGATATTATTCTTGTTAATCTAATTATTTTCACTCTAAGGAACCTGAGGCATCTTTCTTGTAATATAAACCTCTGATTTCTTCACATTTTTAATCAAAAAAGGAGAAGGCAGCACTCATTTTTTTGGAAAACTATGATGCTAGAGAGGCCTTGGTACGTAATGAATTATAGATATTTGCCAATTCCATATAGGAAATGCATCTCAAATATTTAGTTTCAGCAGCCCTGCAGTCATTTACCCTTAAAACCCACTACAGGGACATGTTGTGGTTAGCTGGCAGCAGTGAGGAGGAGGTTCCCGAGGAGCCTGTGCTAAGTGCAAGTGAGCACAGGATGATTTCTAGAAGTGAACAGCTGGAGCAGCACAGGCAACTCGGGAGTAAGAATGCTAAGTAATGGCCCCTCCCTCCAGGGAATATAAGCCTGGTTTCAAAGGGTTTTTGCTCTGTAGAAGGCAAAAACGTTTGAAGGACTCAGCATTGTGTGTGTAGACTGTCAAGGTTTTTCTGGTTGGACTAATTGGCTGCAAGCCATCTTTTATCTACAAAGAAGTTTATTTGTAGATTAAACCTGAGTTACTAAGTTTGTCTGTGTTTGCTCTCTGGGAACCCGGTTGGGTCAGAACAGGACACTTCAGTGCCTGCCTCTCCCCCATCCCACCCATCATCCCACTCACAAACCCATCATGCACCACACTTATCTTCTGAAATCTCTGGACCTCATTTTATGCACAGTGGCAATCCAAATATGGCTGCCATTTTGCCCTCCTTGCTTGTGGCAAAATGGCAGCTGCCAGACAAAGTGCTTTACAGGTCTGCAGAGTGCTGAAGATTTTGACCACTGCTGAAAGCTTTTGCAGCACTGTCCAGAGCTTTCTAAGGTAGCAAAATGAAGCAGTTTGTCCCTGAGCCATGTGGCAGTTACACAAATGCAGCTGCCACTTTGTGGGTGGGAAAAAATGGCAGCCACTTTGAGAATCACTCCATCTGGCTGTACAAAGAAGCAAGTTCCAAGAGGCCTTGGAACTCTTCAAAAGGTAAGTGAGGAGAAGGATGTTTGGCCTGGAAGGGAGGGAATCAGGCCTAAGATGGTGGAGGGGTGAGAGTGGGAAAAGACCTGTCAGGACTCAAGGAGCAAGAAGTGGAGCATTGGCATCTCAAAAGTGGGGGACGCCTTGGGAGGGTCAGGGAAGATGTGCCTGGGCCTACAACTGCCTCCCCAACCAGGAGATAGCCCACACTCCACTTAACAGTTTAATGATTCATTGAAGAGAGCAGGGATTGTGAGGCGGGGGGGTTGTTAGGTGAGACATTTCATCTAAAGATTGTCATGACATGTGACTATAATTACAGTAGTATCTCGAAGACGATCTGCGCCCCAAAGACATATAATGTATATACACTATAAAAAGTGCATGTTGCCCAACTTGTATGACTTATACATATATTTTGGAAATTAATCATAACATTTTGCAATAATGCATCTCCTTCAAAAGTGAAAAAACATTTCCTTACCATGCAATCATAACACCATTGTCAGTGCAAAGTCTTGGAGGTGGACAAACCAATCTGAAATTGGTAGCATCTGCTAGAAGTTGCAGAGATCTACGGACATATTGATTACTTGCGACACCTCCTGAAACAACCTGAAAGCAAAGTTGAAAGAGAAACCCCAGAATATTACATTGTTGCATATTGCAATTTTATTAGTGCATATCTTTCAGAATTAAATATGATAGAGAAAAAATTTAACTTTTATGCTGTAATGTAAATCCTCATTACTTGGTAACCCAGTTGCTACAATAATTATGAAACTCAGCAGATATACATTTAAATTGCTGAATTCATCTTTTGAAGAATTAAATGCTGTTCTAAGAGATTGCTCAAGTTCTTGGAGAAAAAAGATTGCTGAACTGCAATGAGATTTGGCAATTATGTAAAATTTCAGCCATTTATTTACTGGATTGTCTAGAGATCTATTCTCCTTTACTCGCATCTGGATTACACAACTCTTTCTAATCCAGTCCTGCTAAAGTCCTACAAAATTTCCTTGGAGATCAAGACCTTAGTATTCTTTTTTTAATTAAAAACTCTTTATTTCCTTTCCAATGTGCAGGTATGTCTGATATTCTTTTCCTAAATGAAGAAAAATTCTATCGTCAACATATATGATTCCATAGAAGGTAATTGTTCTGTTTTATTAAGGAGGAATACTTATTCAAATGCTCTTCACTTTGTGTATTTTAATAACTGTAGTCTGGAGCTATATAATGACAAATGTACTAATTCATCAAACCCTAGATGATGGAAATAGCCAAAGCTTCACAAATCAATAATGCTTGGTTTAGTGATGGTCTCTTCAAATAGCTGTAAATCAACTACTTTAGCCTCTTGGAGCAGATAAAAAATGGATGAGCTTTTGCTTTAAATGATCATTTCCCATGAAAGTCTCAATAAAACAATAACAGTGATTCTCCATGCTTTTTTTGATGCTCTAGCCATGGCTGAATCTGTTTAAAATTCTTTGGATATTAAGACAGGACAGGACAGGACAGGATAGGATACTCTTTGTAGCTTTTTTCTGTGAACACACCAGCACACATTTAAAAAAAATGAAATTTTGATGTCTTAATTTTGATCCTTGTTAGGATTTATTGCTTAAATTAAACAATTTTCCCCCAAAGAGAAATGAAGCCTCTGAAATAAGAACTTCCTAATAGATAATCTGAATTAATCTCATTAATGTGGAAAAGAAGTTATTTCTTAAATGAAACCTCTGGAAGGTTTTTTAAATATCATAACCAGTATGGTAGCTTCTATATTAGGAGGGTTTTTTTAAAAAAAAAAAGATACTTGATTTCAAATGAACATAAAATAGGAATGAAAAATGTCGATCAATATTCCTATACAGGCAATGAATGCTTGTGAACAAGGGATGCAGAGCAATGAGAACAAGGCTCTAATGCCCAGGGTGCAATTAAGGAATATCTGGTAGCCGAACAGGTAGACACAGTCTCTGTTTCAGCTAATTTCTCCCAATTGTAAGCAGAGTTCAGTCTTGGAATATTTTACTTCCTTCATGGTAACAAAGCCTGGTCTTACTTGGAGTCTGTCCCTTGGCTGGTTCACTATTTCCATGATCAAGAAGCAGTCAGTCTTGGAATCTGAGGTAATAATGAAAAGTGTAATCTTCACACAGAACTTACCAAGGTTTCCTTTCCTGGGGGTATGATTCCTTTCTCTTTGCAGAAGAGAATAGCCCGATGGGTTCGCTCAGCAATGTGAACAGTCATTGTGTACAGGGCAGCCGCAGCAAGATCCGGAAGACAAGAGAGATGTTGCCCTTCCTGAAGGCCTGCAGAAATCACACACACATATATATTTTCAAAGCAGACATGCAGCAAAACACACCCATACAGTTTGTGACTCTTTAGGCAAATACCTTCTGCCTTTTCTTCTTTTGAAATCTTTCTAGTGATTTCGCTTTGCAGACCAGCAAAAGAGAAAGTGCAATCACGGTATCGCTGCATTGGGACTGTGAATTTGTATCGCAAAATGTTACCCCGCTGAGCCAAGATTTCTATTGCTCTCCCACCAGACTTGCCAGAGCACTCTGGATGATTATGTAAAGAAAGACTTCTAGCTACCTTTAAAAAAAAAGTAAAGGAAAAGACAAAAAATACATTCACAACAGATTCAAGAAATATCGCATTTCAAGTTTACAACATTAATTGTTTTAAAGCAATCTTTCTTATTAGTTTATCCAATGTGTATTTTTGACAAAACAAGTAATGTGGATTTTCATGGTGCAGCACAAGGGAATATGCTTCATACATTAATGAGGTGTGCTGACTTATATCAATAAAATTAATCATGCTTTTTTAAAAGAAGAAATGGATAGATTGTAATCCTATTTAAAGAAACTAATTTTTCCCCTAAAAATATGTGTCGCCCCATGAGATATCTTAAATGTGAGTACAAGTAGTCCTCGACTTACGACCATAGTTGAGCCCAACATTTCTGTTGCTAAGTGAAACATTTTTTAATTTGTCCATTTACGACTTTTCTTTCTACAGTTGTTAAGTGAATCACTAGTGTTGTTAAGTTAAAAACAGAGTTGTTAAATGAATCTGGTTTCCCCATTGACTTTGTTTATAGGCAGGTCACAAAAGGGAATCACATGAGCCTGGAACACTGCAACTGTCATAAATATGAATCAGTTGCCAAGCAACTGAATTTTCATCACGTGACCATGGGGATGTTGCAACAGTCATTAAGTGTGAAAAATGATAATAAAAGTCACTTTTTCAGTGTCATTCTAACTTTGAATGGTCACTAAGTGAACTGTGGGAAGTCAAGGACCACCTACAACTAACATACTTTTTCAGATAAATGAGAATGTGGCTGAAATGACTCCGGTTCCAAGCTTTCATTACCTTACTGATATTATGGGGAGTAGGTTTTAGGTCGATTTTATCACTCAGGCCACTTGAAGGAATCAAGATTGGGGACCTGCATTTTTGTCTTTGTGTTATATGGGTGTTGCAGGCAGTTTGGTTTATGTTACCCTGCCATTTCCAGAGTAAATGGAGCTTTTTGGCCTGTTTTCTGGATGTTTTAGAGGTGGTGAAGTTTAATGAGAAAATCAATTCCCTTCAGAACTCAAATGGGGCTTTTTAAAAAGGTAAAATAGAAATCAGTGAGTGGAAATTAGATGTTGGAGAAACACATGCAGGACAATCTACACTTGCTTAAAACAATCCATACATGGAGGACCTCCACATGTGAAAAACTCTAGAAGTTGCCACGGAAATATAATGTTTAATCTTATAGAAGTGAGAAATTATTGAGAACATGAAGAGTAATTTCATCTCTTTAAACATTAAGTTTGTGTACCAGCCCTACTCAACTTTTGGATGGTGCCTCAGTATATTACCCAAAGGATTTTGGCTTTAAAATATTTATATGTCAATAATCTATATTAAAATGAATCACCTTGTCAAGCATGTCCCCTGGTGCGATGTCCTTTGTTTGTCCAAGAAGAAGAAAATCTGAAACTCCTTGTGCTACTGCCAGTATACAATGACCCCCAGAGAGTAAAAGGACAAGAAAAGGAAATGGTACGAGGTCCGTCAGTCGGACAGTGAGAGCATGTGCTTCCATATGATGGATAGGGATAAACGGTTTCTGATGCTTTTTCACCAGTTCTAAACTATATTTCAATCCAATTCCAAGGCTTAATGCAAGTCCTGGCATCACAGTTGTTGCAACAGCCGAGATATCCTCCATACTGATGCCACTGGATGAGACTGCATGTTGTACCACCCTTGCGATATTTTCTTGGTGAAGCCGTTGTGCTACTGGAGGAATAATGCCACCTGTTCTAATCAGAAATACACACCTGTGAAATCCACTGGCCAGATTGTAATAATTTTATAACATCATATTATATACTTTATCATCTTAACATATTACTGATAAGAATTTACATGTAACATTGTAATTACAGCAACCTGTTTTTATATACAATATATAAACATATATATTTTCGTAGATTTTCACGGGTACAGGTATGTAGGTCTAGGTGTGTTCGGGTCTTTTCCTGTGTAAGATTAAGAGTATCTTGGCGACGTTTCGGCGAGGTCCAACTCGCCATCCTCAGGCTGGTGCTTTCGGCTTCGTGCCAGTGCAAGCAGTGTGTGATCGGAGCTGCCATCTTTCTATAAATACTGGTGTGGGGTGCTGGTGTACTGGTCTGGTTGGCTGTGCTGCTGCCTCTTGATTGGCTGATGGAGTTGATGTTGGTATAATGGGCTGTGTGATGGCCTTGTGAGTTTTGTTGTGGAGATATCCTGGATCTTGTGCTTTAATCTCCTGGGTCGTTTGTGTTTTGATCTCTTTTCCATTAGCTCCTGTGTTGTAACGGCTTGGGTAATGGGTTGTTTGGTGACCTTGTGAGTTTTATTGCTGTGGTATCCTTGGTCTTGTGCTGTGATTTCCTGGGTCTTTTGCTGTGTTGCAACTTCTTGAGTTCTTGTGGTGTAATTTCCTGAGTTTTCTGATGTGATATCCTGAGCGGGTGGCTGTGATGTAGAATTCTGGGTTTTGGTCTGGCTTCGAGTTTGGGGTCTGGGTCTGTGTTCTTGGCATGTGTCAGCTTGTTTGGTTTTGGTTTTTCTTCAGGAAAAAAAACTGGACAACTTCCTCACACATCTCAACAACTTACATCCCAAAATACAATTCACCATGGAAACAGAAGCCGGCAACCAACTTCCCTTCCTGGATGTCCTAATTTACAAAAAACCCAATGGCTCCCTAGGACACACCATCTACCGGAAAAGAAAACCACACCAACCACTACCTAAATGCACAATCCCATCACCACCCTGCACAGATCAACTCCGTAGCCAAGACCCTCATCTCCAGAACCAAACATCTAGCTGACAAAGACCACCTGAGAACAAAACTACACACCCTCACTAACGTATTAATTTCCAACAGATTCCAAAGAAACACTATTACCAGCCTAATCCGAAGAGAGATACCCAAAAAAACACAGACACAGAACAAGACAACGGTATCGCACTCCTCCCCTACATCAAAGGCATCACAGACAAAATCAGCAAAATTCTCCACAAACACAATATCAGGACAGCCTTTGGCATTGACCAAAAAATAGCCAACATCCTAAGAAACCCCAAAGACAAGGTCCAGCTAGAAAACCAAGGAGTTTATGAAATACCATGCAACAATTGTCCAGCCACATACATTGGACAAACCAACAGGAGAATAAATGCATGCATCGCAGAACACCAAAACACAGTCAGAAAAGAAGAAAATACTTCCTCCCTCTTCCAGCACCTTAAAGCCACAGAACGTGAAATTAATTTTGAAGGAACCAAATTAATATCCAACACTGAACACTCCAGCAAGAGAATAATCAGGGAAGCCATCGAAATAGAGAAACACCTCTATAACATGAATAAACGGGACGATACCTCCCGCCTACCAGACATCTGAAAACTAGCCCTCACCAACAAATGAGTCCCAGCCACGAAAACCAACACCAGACCCAAAACAACACGGGATACCACCACCATTCCCCCTCATCAGGCCCAAACCCATCCTATAAACGAAGGACAACCGGTATCCAGAAACCAGATCACGGCTGCTTCACCAGCTGTGCACCCCCCGACCCCAAAACCAAACAAGCTGACGCATGCTAAGAACACAGACCCAGACCCCAAACTCAAAGCCAGACTAAAACCCAGAATGCTACATCACAGCCACCTGTTCAGGATATCACGTCAGAAAACTCAGGAAATTACACCACAGGAATTCAAGAAGTTGCAACACAGCAAAAGACCCAGGAAATCACAACGCAAGATCAAGGATATCACAGCAATAAAACTCACAAGGTCACCAAACAACCCATTACCCAAGCCGTTACAACACAGGAGGCTAATGGAAAAGAGATCAAAACACAAACGACCCAGGAGATTAAAGCACAAGATCCAGGATATCTCCACAACAAAACTCACAAGGCCATCACACAGCCCATTATACCAACATCAACTCCATCAGCCTATCAAGAGGCAGCAGCACAGCCAACCAGACCAGTACACCAGCACCCCCCACCAATGTTTATAGAGAGACAGCAGCTCCGATCACACACTGCTTGCACTGGCACGAAGCTGAAAGCACCAGCCTGAGGATGGCGAGTGGGACCTCGCCGAAACGTCACCAAGATACTCTTAATCTTATACAGGAAAAGACCCGAACACACCTAGACCTACATAGTATGTATGTATGTATGTATGTGTGTATTTTAAAGTTGTAGCGATGTTTCGGCAGAATCTCATCTGCCATCATCAGGCTTGTGTATGAGAAGACTTTGAAAGCACAACTATAATGATGTGGGAAAATACCCGAACAAAGCTGAATACCATACATACATACATACATACATACATACATACATACATACATACATACATACATAAAAATTAAAATACAGGTGGATTGATGTCCTGTCACCCTAACCCTGTCTCTCCTTTTTTCCTCCCACCTGTCTTGCCTGATTGTTCTGCAATATAATCTTAACACCACTGTCAGATCCTGCCAGTACAGGTAATCCTTGACTTACAACAACTCATTTAGTGACTGTTCAAAGTTACAACAGCACTGAAGAAAGAGACTTATGACCATTTTCCACACTTTTAAAAATTATTTTATTTATGATTCCCACCCCCCAACTTATGACCATCACATGATTTGCATTTGGATGCTTGATAACTGACTTATATTCATGAAGGTTGCATTGTCCTGGGGTCACATAATCCCTTTTTGCGACCTTCTGACAAGCAAAGTCAACCAGATTCACTTAACAACTGCAATGATGCACTTAACAAATGTGCCAAGGTCATAAAAAGGTGCAAAACCCATTTAACAAATTTTTCACTTAGCAATATAAATTTTGGGATCAATTGTGGTCATAAGTTTAGGACTACCTATATAGTTCCCCTAACAGCAATGAAGATTGAGATTAATTATCGGCCATTAGAGAATGCTGACGCTTTTTGGTCTCTTGAGGTCACTAATCACATTATAGTGATTACAATTAAGTCTATCTTGCAGGATTCCTATGACAGCAAAGTTGGGGGTGGGAGAAAAATCACTGATTTATTCAGAAATGTACATAGCTGCTCATAAAATACCTAAACTTCTTAAGATTCTGGAGGAAAAAGGAAACTTAAGTGTAAGAAACAAATTGTGATTTAAATCTATTTTTCTAACTTCCTACCGTGGTTCTAGATCTATGGGCTCCTTTTTCTTTCCTATTCGTTCAGGAAAGCTGGCAACTGAACCATTCACAACTTTTAATTCATGAAAAAGTTTCTTTGGAAATGCTTTTGGTCAAAACACTGGTTTTTTCACTGAGTTTGAAAACCTCAGCCATTTCTTCATACAAGAAGGACCTATGTGGCCTGTTCTACCAATTTTGAAAACCAGGAACAGGATAACGGCAACCTAATGTAATTTGCTAATGTGAACTACAGGCCATTTTTCAGATATCTATGAATGGAGATATAAAACATGATATGAAATAGTTCATATTCCATTTATTGGTAAGTTTTAACTTCATTGTAAACCGTACTCATTCTTGGCTCCCAAAGAAGAACTCTACAAGCATGTTATAAAATTTTATAGTTTTTTATTAAGTTGTAATAAAATGTTTTATCTGGATGCCTTTAGTAATTCAAACTGGCATTATTCCTAGCTCAAAGCCCTAATTTTAAAGCAAAGGATCAGATTTCTAAAACATAGAAGAAATGCATAGAATACGTAAAAATGACAATATTTATACACTACACACACACACACAAACAGCAATAGCTATTGCTAGGCAAATTGTAGCAACTGAAACATATTTTCACCCACAATAAGAATTACTTACTTTAAATGAACATCAGCTTGAGAATGTAATGCTTCTCCTAAAATGCTACCAGTTTCATCCACCACAGCAGCTCCTGTATCATCACAGCTGGTTTCTATTCCCAGAACTATTTTAGTAGAAATGGATTTGCCACTATGAACAGAGACCTTTCTTAAATAATTATTCCAAGAACATATAGGAGTCTTCAACATTCTTCCCAAACTGGTCGCTGTTAAAAGATTTCAGAAAATAAGGACCCCTAAAAAGAAGCTATATAGAAATGAAATTTAGAACAATATCCACTAAAAAGTCTGCTTCTTACATGTTTTTAAAGTGAGGTGTATGTCACACTGATGAAATCACTTAGTTCTTTTGTTTTTGGTTTAGAGGGAAGCTATAACTGATATACCACAAAAGGTGCAATCACATCAGGGACTGGCAGGGAGCCGAGTGGCCATAGCTCTGACCTGGCTGGCTTGCCTTTCCCTCTGCCACCAGGTGCAGGAGCAAGGTAACGTTTCAGGCCGTCAGGAAAGCCAAACGGCTCTCTAGCCCAGAGCTGCCAGCGGGGGAGGGGGAGCGACGCTGCAGCACTTGCCTCGCTTGAAGTTCTCAGCCCTTTCCTTTCCCCAAAAGCGGGAGGGGAGGAAGTCTTTGGAAGTCTCAAAGGGGTGGACCCTTTTGTTAGACCCGGAAGCTTTGCCTGTCAGCTTTTCCGGGCAAGGCGGGACAGGAGACTGGCTGCGACGTTGCCGGGTGCTTGAAAGAAAGAGAGACAGAGAGAGAGAGTGAGTTATCGGAATTAACCAGACAAATCGCTCCACCAACTACAGGTGGTTCTCCTCTCCTAGCTTTAGAAGGAGAGAGGGGTAGGGAAGGATAGAAAGAGAAGGAAAGAGAAAAAGAGATGGGAAGAGAGAGATTGAAAGAGAAAGAGAAGAGAGAAAGAGAAGGAAAGAGAGAGAGAAGGAAGAGACAAGAAAGAAAAGAATGAAAAGGGAAAGAAAGAAAAAGGGAGAAAGAAAGAAAAAGAAAGAAAGAAAGAAAGAAAGAAAGACGGGATGGAAGGAAGGGAGAGAAAGAAAGAGCAGGAAGGAGGGAGGGAGGAGAGGAGGAAAAAGCAGAGAAAGGAAGGACACAAACCCTAGCTTCAGAAGACTCTTTGAAATAGGACAAGAATCTAGAGCTGAAAGGGATCTTCTTCTAGTCCAAGGGTTTTCAAAGTTTGCAAGTTTAAGACTTGTAGACTTCAACTCCCAGAATTCCTGAGGTAACATGACTGGAGGAGGAATTCTGGGAGTTGAAGTTCACAAGTCTTAAAGCTGTTAAGTTTGAAGACCCCTGTTCCACTCCAACCTCCTGCTCCAGCAGGAAATCCTTACAGAATCAAAGAACAGCAGAATTAGAAGGAACATTGGAGGCCATCTAATCCAACCCCTTGCTCCCGCAGGAGACCTTATATCATCTGGAATCTGGATTATTTTGGTGCTGAAAGGGACATTAATAAATAAATAAATATAGTAAAATATAGCATTAAGTAGAGAGCTACTCTATAGGCATTTGTTATCTCGCTGTTGTAAAAAATATTTCCTTAACCTTTTACCTGTTGTAAAACAATTATAAATACATGCTGCAATCAGTTACACCCCTCTCCTATTAAGACACATGATTGTCCCATATAAATCAATCTGAATCCATCTGTTTCCCTGGATTGATCCATTTCACCCCATGGGAATGAAACTTACCTCTCTGGGAATGTAAAAACCTCTATTCCACACCTTTGAAGTATGCTGTTACTAGCCTCCTTAACTGGTCAATTGTGATCAATTAGATGGACAATAGGAGAAGAGATAGGGAGAGATTTGTCTTTTGCAGGAAAGATGTAAATCTAAGTTAGAGAGTTTTACAATGCAGTTACTCCACTTCTATAGGGCATTTTTCTGTATTTTGTAGAATTTTCCTCCCATGTCTCTTGTGATGTGCTTGGAACTTCTTCCCAGGTCTTTAATTTTGATCAAAGAATAAAAGTCTGCTTTCCTTGATTTGCAAACCTCCATTTAAATCTTTGTTTTGGTTCATTTTTGGCTTAAGCATACTGCCAGACCTTACAGTGCCTCTAACCGAGAGGAAAATTGGCAAAGGAGTTTATTAGGACGAGGCTGCCATGCAGAGGAAGGCAGAGATAGTCCTTCACTTATGACCACAATTGAGCCCAAAATTTTGGTTGCTAAGCAAGAGCGTTGTTAAGTGAGTTTCACCATATTTTACTCAATTCATGACATCTCCTGGGTCTAACGGTCATATGCTTTTCGTAGGATTCTTGCTTTGAGAAGGGAGAGGGAAAGGTAAAATTAAAGATTGATGGGAGTAGATAAGTCTGTTTGAACGAGGCCATAACCAAAAAGAATTAGGCAGTTATGGTGAGGTTCCACGCAAAGTCATTTTCGATGTATAATTGTAGGCAACGCTTGCATGTTTTTTAAAGGCCGAGGAGCCAAGACGCACAAACTAGATGTTGTAACCCGCAAGTCTTCACTCCGGTCTGCTTTTTGAGCGGGAGCCAGAGAAGCCACTGATTGGCTGAGCTGTTTCACAGCTCCATATAAAAGGAGCTGTCAAACAGGATCAGCTCTCTCTTTCTCGGCTGCTGCTGCAAGCTAGTGGCTAGCCGTGGTTGAGATACATTTAATGAATAAAGCAGCTTTATTCTTGCCTCTGCCTCTTTTCACGCGCCAAACACAAAACTGGTGATGAGGATGGGATCGTTAGCAAACTGAGGCATCACTGAGGCAGAGAGCACTTAAAAAGGCTAAAGTCACTACTAAGAGCTGTCACTAAGAGTTGTCACTACAAGCGGAGAAATGGCAGCACCGCCAAATTTCCCACCTTTTCAGCCAACCATCGAGATCTGGACATCCTATATTAACAGATGCAAATGTGTCATGGACACCGTGAACCTATCTGACATTCCTCCGAACAGGAAAAAAGCCTATTTCCTGAGCTTCTGTGGGGCAACCATCTTCGACACAGCAACAGCCTTGCTGTCACCTCAGACAGTCTGTCATCTGGGAAGAGCTGCAGGAAGTGCTCGGAAACCACTATACCCCAAAACCATCACACATTGCCCACCGCCATGCCTTCCGGCAAAGAAGTCAGGCAGAGGGAGAGTCCGTGAGTGAATGGCAGCCCTTTGTTCCACTGCCCTCCAGTGCGGAATCCGAGACCACCTGGATGATATGCTGCTGGACCAGCTCATCTGCAGGGTGAGAGACCTTTGGCTACAAAGACGGCTGCTGGCAAAAGCCAACCTCAACTTAAAACAAGCTATCGAGGAAGCGCAGGCAGCCAAAATGTCAAACCTATCCGCAGCCAAAATACAAAAAAACCAGCAGCCTTCCCGGGGTAAAACCTAGCTCTACAGCTCACTACAAAGATACCTACTTCGAATATGAATACTTCGAAGAGGAAGAAGCAGTAAATCGCCCCAAAATAACTCAAACCATGCAGAGAAGAAGTCTCCCTACAGACAAGAGACAACTGACACCACAGCTGATTTGCCTCAGCTGTGAGGGCAACCATCTGAGAGCCACTTGCCGCTTCAGAAATGCAGTCTGCCTCAAGTGCCAGAAGAAGGGTCACCTGGCGAGGATTTGTGAAGCACTAAGAAATACAAACCAGCCACCTCAGCATCTGAACTAGCCAAGAAACTTCAAACCCAAAGAGGAATGCTATGCCATCAACAAAGCATGCCCAAGAGCTGACTCACTGCCCTATTGTTTTAATATTAATAAAATCAATGTTGATCTTCTCCTAGAAGGCAGCCCCTGTCGGATGGAGGTGGACACCGGGTCCTCACTATCCCTCCTCTTCTGGAAGACTGAAGAATCTGATGCCAGACATCAAAAAGAATCATCTGAATCCCTGAAGCCTGACATTGAGGGACTACTAGGGACAACCCATGCCAGTCCTCAGAACAGGCAAGTTCCATATTCAGTACAACAATTTTGAGGGTCACCTACCACTAATTTTCATAAATGGGAGCCTGCCAAGTTTACTGGGTTTGGACTGGTTCCACTCACTAGGACTACAAGTGACTGGAGTGAATACAGTCACTCTGCACAACCTAGAACAACTTCTTGCTAATTATTCAGAAGTTTTCGATGACAAACTTGGCTATTACAATGGCACTCCTACACGGCTCAAAAAATAAAGGGAACACTTAAACAACACAATGTAACTCCAAGTCAATCACACTTCTGTGAAATCAAAGTGTCCACTTAAGTAGCAACACTGATTGACAATCAATTTCACATGCTGTTGTGCAAATGGAATAGCATACAGGTGGAAAGCATAGGCAGTTAGCAAGACATCCCCAATAAAGGAGTGGTTCTGCAGTGAACCTTGACTCATCCAGTAGAATGAGAGAATTCAGGCCTGGGGAACCGGTCTACTCCCACAATTACGCGGGAAGGCCCCTATGGTTGCCTGGGTGGGTGGAACAAAAAGCAGGCCCTAAATCATATAGAATAAGGCTACCCGACGGTAGACTGTGGTGCCGGCACATGGACCAACTAAAGAGCCATTGGAGTGCCCCTGCAGGTCTGTTCCAGGAGGCCGAAACCATGGACACTGAGTGGGACGACACCAAAGTCCCTCGAAGGCTGACTTCCAAACAGTGGTTTCTTGCAGAGGCCTTACCTGGGGAAGCTCCATTGACGACTAAGGCCCGCTTGCCACCTTCCGAGGAAGTCCCATTGACTCCTACTGCAGCCAGCCGAGATCGCCCGGGGAGAAGAGATGACACTGCCCCCAGTGGAAGACTCCCGCTCAGCAACAGGTCTGTCCCCATTGCTGACTGCAGGACTCAGACGATCTGGACGAGTGAAGTGTCACCCTGCCTACCTGGACAATTACACATGCACAATTCCAGTGGGAAGGAGTGTTGCGACCAGCAAGTCTTCACTCCAGTTCACTTTTTGAGCAGGAGCTAGAGAAGCAGCTGATTGGCTGATCTGTTTGACAGCTCCATATAAAAGGAGCTGTCAAACAGGTTCAGCTGTCTCTCTCAGCTGCTGCCACAAGCTAGCAGCTAGCTGCAGCTGAGATACATTTTAACAAATAAAGCCTGTTAGCTTTATTCTTGCCTCTGCCTCTTTTCACGCACCAAACACAAAAGTAGATTTGTTGTAGATGCGATTAACTTCGATTTCCTTCCACTATGTAGTGGTCTGTGATCTGCTATTGTAATGTTTTAAACAATAAGGGCCAGCTGTGTTGGTGTATATGCAGCATCCAAACCACCTTCACATGTGGGCCAGTGCCTTACAGATCTATGTTTTATTCAGTTGACACATTTTTAAAATTTATGTGATTTAATTTTAATTAAATTGTAATTTACATTAAGCCATTAAGCTTGCTGAGTTTCTGTAACATGCTAGGGCAAAATGAGGTTGATTGGTTTATGATGCATTGTTATCCAAATTAGAATCTCCAGCACTTTCATATTATATTAAACTGATCTGTTTAATAAGTAACAACTAGCTGGGTTGATAGGTGTAAGGTTTATAAGTATAACACAGGATTTACAAACCATAAAGCTACCTCGTGGTTTCTTTCCATAGAACTATTGTAAGAAATAAGGAAATTCAAAAATAAATGGTATATAAGATGCTTAAATGTCTAGAAAAACATATCTCCCTGTATCTACATGCTTTTATACTTTTGACATGCTCCGTTGTTAAGCCTTTTTTGTTTTTATCTTATGTATAATAATGCCTTTTATATTATTATGGTTTTTTTTGTTATCTCTTTGAAAAAATGGTAGAATATGATGAGCTTTAAAATTGTATTTTCAGAAGCTAGAAAGAGGCCCTAATGAAGGGATGCTACACAGTGGTGGGATTCAAATGTTTTTGCCACCAGTTCAGTGGGTGTAGCTGGATGGGCGCGCTTTGCACACATGCACACACTTTACGTGCACGCATGCACCAAACATGCACTTTGCGCAGGCCCAGAGGTGTTCTAACTCACCTCCTGCAAGCCTGCATGATCCTGGTTGCTTCAGCAGCTGCCGAGCAGCGCTATTCTGTGCCACGCAAAGCAGCTGCGCTTCAAATTCAGAGGATAAAGGTGAGTATGGGAGTCCGCGTGGGTGGGTGGGCCCAACAGCAGAGCGGTGGAGAGAACCAGTTTGGTCTCCACTTCTCATCGCTCCTTCCGGTTCTCCAGAACCGGGCAGAACTGGTCGAATACCACCACTGATGCTACATTCCTTAAAGCTGAGGAAAGATGCCACATGGGCAGCCAAACTAAGAGTTATGTATGAGAACATAACGGGAGATAATTCTCTCTGGAGACATCCTAGGATTAGCTGCAACACCTGATGGCATATCCAATAAGTTTAAAGTTGGAAGGGAATGAGTCTCAACAAGGGGACTTGGGTATTGAGATGAAACTATATATAATGTATGTTTTGGAATTCAAAGGTGTGGCTTTTGATTTGAACCTGCTTGTTGAGGTTCTAAAAGGTTCTCAACAGTGCTTTGCAAACTGCCCATTATTTCTTTTTTAATAAATTCTGTTTTCAGTGATCCAAGTTTCTTTTGTTGGCTTTGAGTTATTTCCAACACTATTAAGTGCTCCAGATGAGCACTCATATCATAGCATCTAGCTGCCTGCCCAGTGAGATTTTGAATCCTTACATTCTCTTATACAAAGGTTCCTCAATGACATTTCCTATAGAAACTCTTGAATTGAAAAAATACTTGGTCATTTGATCTCATCCTAGCATTTAATTCACACCAATTGTTACTGATGATACAAGGTATTTAGATAAGATAAAAACTTTGTTTTTATCTTTACTTATTGTTACTGATTATCTTTACCAATTGTTACTGATTATCTTTACCAATTGTTACTGATTACCAAGGTATTTAGAGAAGTAAAGATAAAAACTTCTATGCACTCCAAGTAGTGTTGATCTGAGCATAGTTTTTTAAAGGCAGAAAAGCAGAAGTTTCCTCGAAGAAAAGAATATCAAACTGTCATACAGAATCAAGACAAGGTTGGTCTTTTGAAGGTGCCGGCCAGCCTGCAATACTCCAAGTTAAATTCATAACTAATTCAGTCACTAAGTGACCAGTTTTAAGTTGATGACCTGTATCGTGTAATAGCTATCCAATTGCTTTTTATTAACCAAAAGCAATCATTAGAAATCATGTTTTATTCAAAATACAACAATTTAATTCCATTGATATCTGCCAATTATACATGAAACAATGTTAGAAGAACTCTTGTCCTTTTTTGTTCACACTTGTGCTAAAATCTGATGTCCAAATGGTTTCTTCTGCTGCAGACATAATTGGTTGGTATTATACCGAGAGCACTCAACTTATGGCCATAATTAACTGGAACCTCCATCATTAAGTGTTGCAGATACTGATTCTTTTGCTGCAGTCAAGCAAATCTGGCATTCATTATAAACTTGGCTCGTCAGAAGCACTCATAGAAATTATGATTACATTTATACCAAGATAGTGTAACCATCATACATTGGTAGCCAAGCACCTGAATTATGATTACATGACTGTGGGGACACTGACAGTTCTAAGTGCAAGGACCAGTCGATCACTGAATAGTTATAAGTCAAGAACCACCTGTATTCTTGTTTGTGAAACCACTTCTGAACAGTAATATCTATTTAGAAATTTCATACCTGGCAAAGTATTGGACTGGCTCTTTCTACAATATTTAGTCCACTGCTGGACCTTGAAGCAAATTTATGTATGAAATTATTAAAAAGTTAACTAGAAAATAGGTCCTTTGGAAACTTATTCAAAACAGTGATTCCTTTGATTCAAGGAAGGACTATAAAAACATCTAAATATTATATGATGGTTTATCATTTATTACTGGGTTAAGAGCTATGAGCCTGGACCAATGGTGGGATTCAAAAATTTTTATTACTGGTTCTGTGGGCGTGGCTCGGTGGTCGTGGCAGGTGAAGGATACTGTAAAATCTTCAGTCAGAAGTGGTATTTGTTGGTTCTACTCAAAAATTTTGCTACTGGTTCTCCACAACTGGTCAGAACCTGCTGAATACCATCTCTGGCCTGGATATGTTTCAGTTACAGGAAAAGTAACTACTCAGCTACTGGGCTGGGGGTGGTAGGGAGAGAGGGAACAGTTCCTTGTGAATGGCAGGTGGATGCACACAAGCAAGCACAGCTCCGTTTGTGTGAGTGGTGGGCACATGAATGAAGGGAACTTTGTGCTCATGCGCAAGAGGACCGCCACTCCCACGAGGAAAGGTTCAAGGGCAAGTGGCTGCTGCTTGTGCAAGGGGAGTTTTGTGCATGTGTCTACAAGCACCCGCCACCTACGCAGCCTGATTCTGAACAGGCCCTGGCCCGTCTCGGAGTTGGTGACCCCTGGCTTAAAAAGAACAGAATTTTCATTAGCAAACTTGATAAAAATGTTCTATTAGTAGGGTGTATCAGTGGGGTAAAAGAGAAACACAAGGTCCTGTGTGACATACTACCGGTAGGGGAAGTACTAGGTCACAGGTATCATTTTCCCATTCATAGAGCTGGAGTGGGCATGGCTTGCATGTGACACATCCAGCCCGTGGGCCACCAGTTTGATACCCCTGCACTAGGTACTGTAGTCCAAACAAACATCATCAACAATATCTGGAAAACTACTGTATTTTCCACTCTGCTATGGATTCCATGATAATTGTAGTATTTTGGTATTTCAAGTCACCCAAAAATCAATAGACCTTCAGTGGAGTTATATTATGTACAGCTATATAAAAATCCAATCACCCCAATAAGCAATAAATGTCAGTTAGCAGAATTCAGTTTTTACTGAAGAAATATTTCATTATTCAGAGCTTGGAATCAAAATTAATGGGAGGCAAGGAACTGCATTTCAGATACACAACTCCCATACAGAGGCAAGTATAATTTGACAATTAGGTATTTCTTAAGTGCTGTATAATCTGCTTTAATATCTCATTGAATGAAAACAAAATTACTGTATTTCATCGTTCGATTTTAAAATAAATTCAATTTTTTTCAGGACAAATTATTTTAATTGAAGGAAACCATAAAAATCAGGTACCATTGTAGATTGGGGAGGGATATACATCAATGTCTTATCTAACTATTGAAAAGGCTTCTTACTCAGTTCTGCATACAAGTAATAAAATACCATTCCTACATTATCACTAATTCTATTTACAGAGTTTAACGGCAATTTGTACAGTGCTGTTTATCACAGTGAATTATACTTACAGGGACTCATACATATGATCAGTTCAAAGTCATTCAGTTTATTATTATAAAACATGAAGATTTTTAAAAGATATTTTCAAGAAGCAAGATCAGGGAGAAACTGTAATTACCTGAAAAAAGCCAGTTCTTAGTTGGAGGACATAAACACCACTGCTCTAACTTCAAGGGTCTTTGTGGGTAGAGAAGCAGCTAAGCAAAGCTACTACTTATTCATGTTCAATAACCCATTATTTTTCTGCTGTCAACATTAGACAAGATTGAACATTTCTGAAACTAGGACCTTAAAATCCCTGCATCAAAAGGCTCCAAAACTCACAATGCTAAATAAAAAACACAACCCTGCTGAATTCCTACTAAGTTCCTTTCTATGCAGAAACAGTGGCTTGTGCGTGCTTTGAAAATGATCTGGAAAAAGCATTAGCAGACCTCAGTCAAGCATACTATTTTCTATTATCTGTGAAAGCTGCCCATCCTTCTATATTGCTCTCCCATGGATCACTTTATAAGTCACATTAAACTTAATGAGCAGATCCCATAAAGCAGAGGTATGTTTTTAGTCTTGCTCTGGAATATTCAGGTTGCTATAATGAAGAGTGAAGTGCTGCATTTCTATGAGGCCCAAAGCACTTCTTCGAAATCTTCTTCAAATCTGCTCCACAATGAGAACAAGTTATGCTCTGGTTGATGTTTGAAATTCTTGTCACATAAAGTTTCTATTCAAAATGAATACCTTTCCTAGAATTTTCCTAACAGATTACAGCTCTCATTCTGAACTAATAGGTCAGAGATTCCAGTTTATTTAGTAGCTTCTGCTAGCTTCTGACACTAGGAATTTTCTTTTGTTTATGAGGAACGTTTTTTTCAGATAACTTAGAATAACCACCTACTTCTGGAAAACAAGTCATATGATGCCAATCAGTTTAAGTGTATATAACAAAAGGTTGACATGTCATTCCCCAGAGTTCAAAAGTCTCACACTGGAAAAGTCACTCTGATTAAAAGACTCACGAATAGATAAGGCATGAAAATCACAGCAACTCATTAACTTTATAACACCTCAAGCTGGGTAGAAAATCACGCCCTAAAATTAGCCCAACAAATGACCCCAAATGATAACTGATTGAAGTCTGTAAAACAAAGAATTACACTATTTCCTCCCCTCTATTCCTTCCTTACTGTTGCTCACTTACTTGTAAAATATTACAACTATGAGTCAATTACAATGTTTTGCATCCCTTTTCACTTCTCTTGTTACTTCAGCCTACTTCCAGTTAACACTGTTATCTTAGGAGAGCTAGGCCTGCCTAGCTATTTACAAAAAACCTGTGCTCCAAAGATGTGTCTTCAAGACCAGTATATCTTCTGATGGTCTCTGATTCTCCTGTAAAGAACAGCATCAGCATCTTTGCACTAGAGTCTTCAAAGAGATGTGAAACTTATCTAATAATACATAGTATAGGCTGTTCCTTCTGTCAAGGACAAGGATCAAACCAGGCCATATTTTGATCAGAATGCTCACACTGCCGATCTGCTTAATATTTGTTGATTCCAAAGATCCTAACTCCATGCAGCTGTGGCAGTTTGGGAATAAGCACACTTAAAAGAGAAGTGGTGTTCAGAATGAAATGTGTTGGGTCGTATTTGGTGTAGAAGCTTGCCAAAAAATACCTGCATTCAAAAGAGAAAAAAGAAAAGAAACAGAATTATCAGAATGAATAAAAAGTTAAAAATTAAAGAAGAGCAAAATGTGTTCTTCTGAAACAAAGAAAAATGTTTTCTGTCTTTTTATGTGACTAATTATTTAATCTCTGATTGCTTAAGATACAGGTAGTCTTCGATTTACAACCATTCAGCGTGACTGTTCAATGTTACAATGGCACTGAAAAACATGAGTTATGACTGTTTTTCATATTTACAACTATTGCACCATCCTCAGGGTCGCGTGATCAAAATTCAGATGGTGGGCAACTGATTCATATTTATGATGGTTGCAACGTCTCAGGACTCATCTGATCCTCTTTTGTGACCTTCTGACAAGCAAAGTCAATGGGGAACTCAGATTCACTTAACAACCTTCTTACTAACTTAACAACGCTAGTGATTCCACAGTGGCAAGAAATGTTGTAAAATGGGGCAAAACCCATTTAACTGTCTCATTTAGCAACATAAATTTTGGGCTCAACTGTGGTCGTAAATTGAGGATTATCTGCACAGTTGCTTATTTTAGAAAAGGGATTATTCAATTTGCCCATTTTGATGGCAAAGTATTTTGAGGAGTATACAAAAATGAGAAAGAAGTTGTTTTCGACCTCAATCAAACTACTAAACTCCAGTGGTTCTGCCAACATTTGGTAAAATCAATCAAAATCTGGAATTATACCAGAAAGAACCAATGTAGAGGTGCTGAGGTGTGTCACACTCCCTTCTTCTGCAGCTCTTGATATGACAAATCCTTTCACCCCACCTCTTCCATTTTCTTAGTACCTTTCCTTTCCCTAGTAGCTGCCAATGTCCCTTGATTTTCATTCTATCCGTTATTTAGGCTTTGGATATCTTTGGCTCTCTTCCCCCATCCCAGCAGAAGGTGATGTTCATGAGATGCTAAGGCTGTCTATTATATATATGTTCTATAAAAGACGCAAAAGAGTTCAGAGTTTCTGTTTAATTGCAGCATTGAAATGTAGTTAGAGAAAACAGGTTGGTAATTGACTCCTGGATGTTTTATGAAGTTAATTGCAAGAGATCCATTGGGAACTGAGCAGTATGAAAATAAAACAAAATAAACAACCTGGTGCAGTTTTGGAGCACAGATTTCAACTTCATATTACATAAGGATAAGGATAAGTTTATTTTATGAGAATAACTATAACCAACAACCAGACTATTTCACCATGCAAGCACTCTCATGTTTATATAGGTGCAATAGTAACAGACTTTAGGATACAGAGAAAAATGTAAAACAAAAAAATATGGACACGATTTATTTCTAGAACACTGACTCAATCTCAGCCAGCAATGATGTCAGGTTAATATCTTAGCATTAAATTTTGATAATGCAGGTGTGTACTGTCTTCCTTTGGTATTTAAAACCAATATAACAAAGGCATACCTATAAGCAAGAATCTATGTACAGCCTAAGAGATGGATGACTGAAAACAGTATCCAACAACCATACATTATTAAGCTGTTCTTTAATATAATTGTCTAGACAGTCATACTGGGACAA